TTATCGGCTACGCTGCTTCTTCTTCTTCTGGTTTCCTACTGGTGGTTGGCTTTGGGCGCAGTAGCGCCCCCTTCTGCTCTGGAGTGTAAACGCTTCCCTCTGAGAAAAAGGAGCAGCAGGAACCCAACGCAACACACGCCAACCCAACCGAGACAGAACCCAACGGTTCAGACGGTTTTCAGAAACCGTCCCATCCTTAGTTTATACCTCCGCTGATAAATATACGGATATATTTTAACCAGATCCAGCTGACAGCCTGATTTAAAGCATGTGAGCTGCTACAGTCAATAATTCATGACTCATTAGCCAACCCAGTTCTTTTTCTGACTTTCTCTGGTTTCAGTCTTTAATACTAGCGTGTTCCTTTATGTGGAAATATATAGATTTTATCTCATGTTAATTGTGTGGTCTAAACTGAAAAGCCAGGTGAAGATATTGAAAACAAAGGTTTCGTCTGCTTGCTCATGGTGGGAATTGTTGGGTTTCTGTAGTTAACTTCAGAGTAGGGTCTGACCTGCTCTGTTTGGAAAGCTGTGAGACAACTGTTGTTGTGATGTGGCGCTATATAAATAAAATTGAATTGAATCTGCAGGGAACAGGAAGCCCAATGGGTCTAAACTTCAGATAAAACTCTTCTGTGATGGTTAACAAGCTGCTAAAGCCTTTGGTATCCAGGCCGAGTGACTTTCAAGGCACAGAAAAGTGGAACAGATCATGTTTCTGTCATGGTAGATGATGCAAGACTAGAAAGGAGGAAGTGCCTCTTCCTTTTAGAGTCCACATCATAAAGGTGAGTCCTCCCACAGAGATGTCATCAGAGCTGTCACAACACAAGTCTCTGCCCTGAATAAAGCTAGAAAAGTGGCTTTCACTCTACCTCCTATCCAAACTTTAACAAATCTTTGCTAAATTAATTCTATAAAAAAATACAAAAGGCCCAAATGGTTTAGGGAATAAATATAGTTATCGTACAAGTTCAGACTTGTGAAAACATTTCACAAAATTGATTTAGATGCAAAAAAAATAATTATTCCAACATATAGCATATTCAACTTTTAATCAAATAGTTTTAAGACAAAAATCTTACTGAAGTCAACAAGCTGCTGCATCAAGGAATCTAATTATTCTTCATCTGAAATCTATAACCAATTTCCCACATAATCATTCAGAGAAAACAGGTAGTGAGACAACTACGTCAAAGAAATGATCATAATACAATACTTTCTAAGGACACTACTAAAGATTAGGCAAAAACTGCCAACTCAAACAATCAGGAGATTAATGTTATTAATGTTTGAGACGGATCCAGCCGCATGCTGCCCAGTGATCCATTTCCTTTAACTTAATATAGATTTATGAGCACAAAGGTTGTGACCAGCCAATCTTTCTTCAGAGCTGCTGACATGGTCAGAAACTCCAGTTTGTTAGCTTTTATTTA